ATGAGGAGCTATAATTAGTATTAATGAGGCTTCCTGGAAGGAGCAGTCACCACAGCATTTTACCGTCCCTAAAAATAATAATGTTCCAGCGCCTCTGGCTGCCTCCGATCTTGGAGCGGGGACGCTGCTCCCCCCGATCCCGGAGCGGGGTCGGTGTCCCCTCAATCCCGGAGCGGGGTCGGTGTCCCCCGATCCCGGAGCAGGGTCGGTATCCCCTCAATCCCGGAGCGGGGTCGGTATCCCCCGATCCCGGAGCGGGGTCGGTATTCCCCGATCCCGGAGCGGGGTCGGTGTCCCCCGATCCCGGAGCGGGGTCGGTGTCCCCCGATCCCGGAGCGGGGTCGGTGTCCCCCGATCCCGGAGCAGGGTCGGTATCCCCCGATCCCGGAGCGGGGTCGGTGTCCCCCGATCCCGGAGCAGGGTCGGTATCCCTCAATCCCGGAGCAGGGTCGGTATCCCTCAATCCCGGAGCAGGGTCGGTATCCCTCAATCCCGGAGCGGGGTCGGTGTCCCCCCAGAGGCCCCTCAGGCCGCGGAGCCAGCGGGGGCTCCGTGTGTGCCCCGCCCGCCCCGCCAGGGGGCGCCGTGGCGCAGCGGCCGCCTGAGGGGCTGCCCCGGGCGGTGCCGCGTCCCGGCCGTGTCCGCGCCGTGCGGGGCCGGCACCGGGATCGGGATCGGGACCGGGAACACCTCCAGCCGCTTTTCGTGCCCGACACGGGCAGCAGCTCCGTGAGGACCGCCCGGTGCGGGTGTGACACGGCACACCGGGCGGGCGCTTCGGGCCGCGCGCGTCGGCAGTGACGCCGGTGGCACCAGCGCAGTGACAGCGGGTCGCGCTGGGGGCGGACACCGTGCAGGTTCTGAAAATGTTGAAACGTTTGGCAAGAATACGCTGGTTCGTTGGTATTTATTTTGCAAAAAAATCCACCCGAAAGTGTTGCTACTATGGATGTAGCAAATTAGATTAAAAATGTATTTTAAATCCTGTAGTAATTTCTCTTATGCTGATGCCAATTTATTGGAGTTCTGATGGGCAATTTAAGGCCACCATAGAAAATGGGGGGTTATTGCTGAACACATAATTAGTCTGTATCCTTGGGATTGTATAAAACTTTGCTGCACTAAATGACAGCTGTTAGTGCTTGTGGAGTATCTTTAGTATGCACGATTCATAGTACTTTGCGAATCATTAAAACATTACATTGTTTCACAAACAATGCCCTGTACGTCACAGAGGAGCCCAGACACACACTGGGAACAGACTGCTGAGACGACGGAAATAATGAGCTCGTCCTCTGCCCCCATTTTGGTGACTCTGACCCAAAAAATGGGTAGTGCTTGATAGGCTAAAAATCAGGGCCTCTGAGGAGGTCACAAGTTGCTCGCAGGAAACCTTAGACACTCTGGTGTTCACATCAGGCTCAGAAAACTATCCATGGTTTCAGTGTTTATTGAAATACACCTGACATCTGTTAGAAAGGAGGGCTCCTTGCTGTCAGCTGTGCTATTCTGAGAGCACAGGACGCAGCACAGCGAGCACACGCAAAGTCTGACCTTTGTGTCAAAGTTAAATGACCCTGCTCTTTCTCCCTGCGGTTCTGGAGAGGTGGCGAAGCTGCTGGGTTTCACCATTGACTTCATCCTCACCTTTTGAGAAAAAAATGTTGTGGACTAACCAGGAAGACCCCTAAATGATGAGGTCTTCATTTTCCATAGTTCCAGCAGCTTTCCAGAACCACATCTAATCTTACTCTGTCACTAGCCAACTGCAAGCCCTCGTTACCTTTTGCAGAGTTACCATCAAGGCCCTTGGCCTGATTCTGCCAGAGGGAGCTCCAGGCAGTTTTAGATATCCGTTCTCACAATATCATTTGTCAGGCCGAGGTTTTGGCTTACAGAAGATCAGAAAGAAGAACAGTTACCAACCCATCGCCAAATCATCATTTCAGTGGGAGAGCACAGCAAAAGAAAACTCTTACTACATCTTTCAGATGTTGCATTATTTTAACTATTTCACCCTCAGTGTTATGTGCCGTTTGTTAAAGTTCATTTACAAACAGAGGGAAAAAACCTCCTACACGTTTATAAAAAATGGGGTTTGAAATACTTTAGTTATAATAAATAGTTAAATAAATTAGAGAGAAGCCTGGATTATGTAAATATGTACACTATGAAAATTGCCAGTAGATACATAGAGAGTCTCATGAAAGACACAAGCTTCATTATTGCTCACAACCCAGGACCAAGTCCGTGCCAAGGGAACACATATGACACTGATCCTGCAACTGCACATCTGGAGCCAAAACCATACTGAGAATTTTTCTGGATTTTTTTTTTTTTGTTAATATATTTACAGAGCTGGATTTGCATTTTAACTTGCTGCCTATTTTAAGTCTCTTGTTTTGAGAGGTGTGATGAGTTTGTTTTTTTTTTTTTTAATATTTTAGAAGTCCTATGTCCATCTGCTTTGTCCCTTCTGAACTCCTGGCCTATTTAAGATGTTTCAAATTTGTGTGTTGCACTGCTAAATGTATTTCGATTTACATCTTTCTCAGTGCAGTTAACGGTTCTGCCTGCAGTGAGCTGGGGTGGCCTGCAGCTGCTCGGCTGAAATCTGGGGGAAGTCTTGGAGCTCTGAGGGCAGCACGAGCCGGGCTGTGCTCTAACCTAGAGACCACGCAGCTGGCTTTTACCATACTGAGCCTGGCATGAAATCATTGTATTAGTCAGAACAATGAGGAGGCAGAAGCACAGCTAAAATTGAGGCTTTAAGGATCTGACTCATTCTGTTTCTGGCGCAAGGAGGTGCAAATTGCACTTCCTGATTCTCTGTGCACCCACCAAACCCCAATTAGAGCGCACCCCAAACGTGCTGTGCTCTGCAGAGCCCCACTCACGGCCTCAGCACGTACTCTGTCACCTGCGTGCTGTCACTCTCGTGGCTAATGCACCATTTGGAAGCTGATGTTTGCAGGGTGTTAGCTGGAAGATGGCTGTGTGTTGCTGCAGCTCTCCTTGCCAGTTTTGCAGCCTTTGCCACCCAGAGAGCCCTGCCCAGAGTTGTGCTGGTACCTCGAGAGTCTTGGGCTGGACAATCACCTGACACGTGCAGGGCCCCCATCCTCTCTGCTGGCAAGGAGCAGCATACTGCCCAGTGGGGTTTTTTTCTCAGAGATAGCAATAATATGGCTCCTCAGACATGTTCTATCTGTTCCATCCACCAGAATATTTTATTACCCCAATTCCATACAATTATTTAAAAAAAAAAAAAAGGGCCCAAATCTGTTGTAGCCATGTGGGTCACATCCAGCAGGTCCTGTGCGTGGAGGCAGCCCCACGGTGCACTCAGCACGAAGAAGCAGCCAGAGGAAATTCTGCCTGCAGGTCTGCAGCTAATTATTTAGGGCTTTCATAGACATCTCCTTTGGGGAAAGGACTGTTGTCAATCTAAGGCCTGGGACCAACATTTTGAGGAAAAATACGGAGGTTTCGTGACTGTGTCCCCCACATTTTTCAAGCCCCTTACGTTTTTCTTCCACAGTTAAAATTCGCTAAGTACATTTGAGATTCTCCAAAGTGATGAAGAGAGACCCAGGAAGGATTTTTCGTTAAAGGTGAGTTAGTTTTTCAGTTGCATTGTTATTTATATGTATTTGTTTCTACAGCACTTAGGAGATGCTCTCTTGAACCTCCCTGGACAAATGGAAGGCCATAGGACTCCATAAAAACAGCAGCAATTTGATCTCAGATGCTGAACTGAGTAATAAGCAGTGAGAATGATGTAGAGCTCAATCACACCTTTCATCTTGCTTAGCTATACTTACCTTACTGAGCATAGACCTTGTTAAGAATCAGTTAATCTATTTCCCATGGGCTGTTCTATTCCCTATTCCTTCTCAGATTACTTTTAATATTCCACTATGAAACAGGATTTATTTCTAAAATATTTTTAGACATTTCTTAGAAAATTTTGAAACATCTTTGAAGTCTTATCTTTGTGCTGTTTACGTTGGCTGAAGGGACAGGTGAGGTGAACTACATGCAATTAAATAGTTTATAGAATTCACGGCATAAGAAAGATATAAAAAGCTCTTTTCTTTTTTTTTTTTTTTGCTATTCTACCTGAGTGGAAGAAAGACTTTTGTGAGGTTTTTAGAGGGGAATGCTAAAAAACATATTGGGAACCCAAAGAATATTGACAGAGTGATCGATTGTCCTCTCCAAATAACAATGAAAAAAAAAAAGACAGCGATGGTATATGTTCCCTTTTCTGTGAATCAGAGCAGCTAAATTGCAAACAATATGTCTTAGGCTATTAAAAGGTATTCTCCTTAACACAACTAATTAATTGGGAGAATTACATTATAAGTAAGAGGATCTGAGTTTTGTTACTTTGTTTCTCTACAATTTTAGGCCACATTAAGTCTCTGCTAGCTATGAGGCTATTGTATTTATTACAATATTTGTATCTCTGGCTATTACTTTTTTGAGCCTGTGGTGGCATAAAAAAATTGTAAATGCCTCAAGAAGGACTCACATTCTAAATAAGTAATGACATTGCAGACATTTTGGTTTTAAAGTGACTTCTCTATTTTAGCTTCTCTTTAATTTCTCTTGCTTCTTTTGCTTCTTCTTTTACAAGGAGCAGTATTTTAGCAACACAGAGAAGGAAACAGATGCATCAACTACTCCAGTTTCAACAGAGACAAAATACAAGGTAGGTTAACTTTTTAGAATCTACAATCAAGTTATTATCCTTTAATTATCAGTTGCTGGTAGGCATGAGTGTACTGTTGAAATGGATATCTTTTTTTTAAGTTCATGTTTTACAACTAGAAGTCTGGATATTCCCTACATAAAATTCCTCTCAATAAAGGGATGAATTTAAGACTACAGTTTGTGTTACACTCAAAGAATGAAACTATACCCAGTAGCCTAAACATCACAAGAGTGGGAATACCCCAGATTGTTTATCTCAGTAGTAAGAAAAACTATTACTGAGAAAGACACTTTCATACTTAAACTCTGCAAGATTTATTTGAAAATTACTCTTAATGTTCTTCAGCCAATCTGCTCCCTAAGATTTGAGTCATATGTGCCTTTAAATATTGCCTCAGTAAGTTCAGACTTATACA